ATAATTTTTATTTTGACTTTATTTTACATTTTTTATTTGATTTGATTCAGTTGGTTTTTTAAAATCTGTTCAATGTTATTACTATACATATAATGAGATAATTAGTTTCTTTATAATTTTTTTCCTTTGTTCACTATCAAAATTTTTAACGAAAAACTATAAGTAGAAATTTATATAATATGTAAGTATTTTGCAATGGTATTTTAATTGAACTTCACTTTTCAAGATTTTCATTTAAAGATTTTTATTCTTAATTTAAAATTTAGAAAAAAAAAACAAATTACAATACATATTATCTTGGATGCTTTGTAAAAAAAACTTTTAATAAATTTATTGCATTTTGATTACTACGTACATAATATGTGAATTAATTGATATTGTTACATTAAAATAGAATTTAAAAGATTCGGTAAGTACACCTATTAATAAATTAAACAAATTATATTAAAATCTTACTTGAAAATAGATAAAAATTGTAAATAAATATAAAATAATTGTAATTGTTAAAAACAGTAAAATTGTTTAGACATACTATTAAAAATAATATCATCTGAGGAAGATGTACATATTTCGAACAGAAGCATTATTAAATTTGTCACATTTAAATTTCAAAGAAAAGTACATGGATTATGTTAACATTACAAACACAGATGCTTTAAGAAATATTAAAGGGAACACAATTTCTAGTTTTCATTAGAAATAGGGAATTTTTCACTTTAACTTTTGCTTTTGTTAACAATATATATTTTCGAAAATTCTCAAATTTATGTTTGAATTGAATTGCTTAATTCCTAATTCATGTCGATGATAAATTAGATTTAATAATGTTATTAAATTTTTGCTTTTATTATTGATCGCACTTTAATTTCGCCAAAATTTTAGTTTCAATAGTTTTTTAATTTCTTCTATTGAAAAACTTTATAATTAATAAAAATTTAATTGATAAATACTATTAAAGAAACCTTTTTATTTTAAAAATTTTTATATTTAAATATAAAACAAAAAGAAAGATTTTTATAGAAAAAAAAAATTTATATTTAAATCATGTACATGAGTACATGTATATAATATGCATCAAAAAATATAAATATGTATTTTTAAAATTTTTTCGTTAAATGATTTTCCATTTTAAAAAATATTTATTTTAATTTAACTTTTAAATAAAATTGAAATAAAATAGACTCATCTGTGACAACATAAATTATAAAACGGTATATAAATGTGATTAAATCCGAGAACAATATAAATATTTATAATTTTTACAGAATTAGACCAGCACCAGATTAAATTATAAGTTCAATAATAGAATATGCACCTATATATGTATAAATATTGCAATAAGCAATTTTATAAAATTTTCATGACTTTATTTCAAATTGAAAATAGCAACCATTAAAAATGTTTCGGTTTTACATTTATTATTGATCCTATTATGTTAAGTAAAAAATATAATTGTGTGAAACAAGAACTGAATATTAAATACTAAAGTTAAATACATTGATTGACAAAATTTTTTTTTCATAACTTTAAGTTTTTTGTTATGATTTCGACTATGTGCAGTTGTTTTTAAATATATTGTATAATTTTTTTCTATTTTATTTTTTTTAAGATTAACTATATAGATGAAAAATATGAAATTTAAATTTTATTTTGTACCATATAATTAGTAACTATTTAGTATTGAAAATTATTTTGTAAAATTACAATTAAGATTAATAAGTAAATTTAATATTGCTTATAACTAATCGCACTTGTTTATTTTATAGCGAAATTTCATAAAATATTTTTTTTTTCTATATATATGCAAGTATTTGATGATGTGAATAATTTAGAGTGAAAATAAAAAATAAAAGGAAAGTATTTTAGTTAAAATTAAATATTTTTTTAAATGTAAACTTGAAAAATTTATTTTTTTTTAAAAAGTAGAAAATAATTTAATTAAAACAATATAATATTAAAATACGTGTAAAATTACTAATATAGTCAATGCATGAATTTTTTTTAATTAATTAGATTAATATTGCATTAATCAATCGATAAACGAGGGTGCTATTTGAGTTTTTAATATTTTTTATAATAATACTAGTGTTGGTCTTTAAGTTAGTAAAATTAAATTAAAATAAATTTGCAGAAAATCTTTAATGATCAATTAAATCACTTATTTTTTAAATGTTAAAAATTGAAGTGTTTTATATTTTTTTTTTGTATTGAATCAAAAACATTTTTAATTTTTTTTTTCGTTTTTCGCCTTTTTAATTCTGAAACATCAAAATTTTTCTTATTTCATCTATGTATATTTTATTGTTATATAATTTCTACTTAGTCAAATAGTGGTTGTTAATTATTATTTTAATGATTTTTTTATTAAGATATTTAGTTGAATATTCATCAGTTTATCATTTATCTATTAACATTTTGAAAATTTTCAACAATATTTCCATTTATGCTTATAATCGTTTTAAATATTGTTTTTAAAGGAAAATAAGTTACTTTAAATATTTACAAAATAAAAAAAACCTTTTTTTTTTGTTTTGTGTTTTTTTATTTCTTTTTTATACCTTTTTACCCGTCATAACAACTTTTAATAAAATATGAAATATTTTTTTTATTTTACATGTGAAAATCATAATTTAGGCAGAAGGTTTTTACAATAGCAACAATTAAAATTATATTTTTAAAATCATTTCTAATTAAGTAAACCCAGAAAAAGAAAGTAAGAAAGATCTTAAATATTGTTGATAACTATTAATTCAATTATGCATTCATGTACTTATTCTAATTACTATTTTGTTATAGTACTGATTGAGATTAATACAAAATAATTGGTTATTATATGCATTTCTGTTCAGAAATTGGAGTTATGAATTCATGTTTGGAAACTATTAACTGCATTCTTAAATATAATTAAAAAAATAGCACATTTCTCGAGTACAGTACATTAATTTTTTTTTAAAAATAATATAATACACCTCAGAAAATAAAAAAAAAATATTATTGCAGTACACTATATATAGACACACATTGATCGACCGACTCAAATATAAATCATTATTGTAAAGATCTGCATCATGACTTATATTGTGTTTTGGAATTTGAGAAATAGATACATATTATATAATAAAACCTACAAATTCGCACAAAATTTTTAGTTCAATATTCAATGAACTAGGGGTTATACTTAAACCGTTTTATTGTACAAATTGCATTTTAAACTGAAGTTAAAATGTTATGAGTTTGTATAAAAAAACATTTTTATAGCTTTTGTTTTTAATTAAATAATTGAATAGTACATGGTGACTATGAGTAAATATGAATAAAATCTAAAATTTAATGGAATATACTTTAAAAAATTTACTAAGCTATATTTTACACATTAATTTTAATTTCATTATGATTAAAGCCGTAAATCAATCAAGATTATAATATTGCAATAATGCATAAAGACGCTACAATACCGAAATTATTATTATAAGTTGATATCGAAATTAATTTCTATTTTTTAACATAACAATAATTCGACAACATCACGTGTGTACACATAATATAGAAACAATTATTAAACTGAAATCTTTGCCTATACCGATCGTTTAATGCTTATATTTATTTGTTTCAATTAAACTTTTCCCAAAGATTTTTCTTTTTTTTGATAAAAGAGATGTATTTTAATATTGGAAAACTTATATATTTTATTTATATGTAAGGTATTTTCACGATAGTATGATCTGATTTAAAAAAAATCCATGAAATGAGTAAATTAGATTTAAGTTACATTAAAGAAATGACTTTCTTAAAATTTAAAAATAAAGAACTCATTTTATTGAAGATTTTAATTATTTAAAAAATTTATTTAAAATACAAGAAAATTTTAGTAAATAGCAATGGAAATATAATTTTTAGAAGAACTATTAATTTCAATTGGAAAAAATTTTAATATTAAAGATTATAAGTTATAAAAAATCGTGCTATCTACGTACATATTTTGAATTTATTTTTTTTTTGTTATCAACAATACTATTTTATTTCTATATCTTCTGTTAAAACATGATATTTATTTTTTCTTTCATGACCTTCATTTTCTAAACACTGACTGAATTTAAAATAAAATATAAGATTTTGTTTTTTTTATTCTAATCATTTTACGTAACTAGATAGATATTTTACCATTTTTTTACATACACAAAAATATATTTCTTAAACGAAACTATGTACTTTATACGAAGAACGAGAAAATATTAAAAGATAAACTAAAAACTAAAAATATGAAGAAATTGTCATACTTATTTTTTCGTTTTTTTTTTGTTTTATTTTTTTTTAATATAAGTTTTGTTATAAATGTTCTTATGGAATACTTTAAAACATACAATTTAAAAAATAAGATTTTTTGTTAAAATTTAAATTAAATTAAATAAATCTAATTGTAATATAATTTATATTCTAATATAGACAGTAGTGTTTCAAATATTTCTACTCTTAATTATTTTATTACCAATCACGTAAAATGTGATTTTTAAATAATAAAACAAAACAATAATAATAATTCTTTTATCATATATTTTTTTTTAGTTTATATTATTTTCTGATATATATATATATATATATATATATATATATATATATTATTTCCATTTTGTATGACCAATTTATATTATTTTCTATTAATTAGTGTACATATTTTTTAAAATAAAAATCATTATGTATAATTTTACTCTCAAGTAATATTTATATATCGTAATATTCTTAAATATAATGATAATTTCTAAAAAATATTATTGTTTTAAATTTTTGCATTACTTAATAGTTTATTTTTTAATTTTTTTATTTAAATATAAATTCACATGCTATTAATAATAAAAGAAACGTTTAAAATAATATAAATGGTTATATAAAACATTTAAAATTTACAAAATAATAATTAAAAACAAAGAGACTTGTAAATATTAAATATTGTATTTTATTTTATCTTATAATTTCTATACTCTTTTTCAAATTTGTAAACCTTTAATTATCTATTTTTTTCTTTTTTTTTTTATAATAATAAAAAATATTCTTCTAAAATAGTCTAAATATTTATAATATTATCGAATAAAAAATTTATTTTGTAATTAATAGTATTTTCATTTCCTTATTTTTTTTTTCTTAATAAATTAATTAGTCACTAAATTTAATACAATCTTTATAATGTCTATTAAAAATATTAAAAATAATTTATATATTACTTTTGCATTTTAAATATTTTTTAATCAATTTCGGTTGAAACAATAAAAACCCTGAAGCAAACAATGCTTATCGATGCATTCTTTTAAACTCCTATAGATTTCGGAATAAGTCTTTCAATTTTAATGATAGTTATTAAATTTATCATTTTATTTAATCTAAATTTTAGATGATTTAATGAAATCATTATTGTGTTTCGTAATTTTTTAATATGTTTAAGTTCTTTTGATCATATCATAATGACCATCACACTGCCAATTCATATTTTAAATTTTAGCACGTATTGTTTATTAAATTTTCAAAAATTATAATTCAACTCATTTTTATTTTAATTTTTTGATTAATATTTTTTTAATACTTTTAGTAGGAATAAATTTCTTTAAAAACTAAATTTCATTTTGTTCTGCATTTTAAATTGTTTTTTTGTTCAACATTTTATACGTTTTATTCTAAATTGAAGTTTTATATTTTCAATAGTTCACAATTAATAAATCATTTGTATTTAGCACATTCTTTGAAAGTTCGTTTTCTTATTTTACACTTTTAAAAGTTGCTTTGAATTTAAATAAAAATTTTATGTTTTATTTTAATTTAGTCACTTCATATATGGGTTTTTATCGTTTAACTGATCTCATTTAGCAGGGCCAGGAGGAAATGGGTTTATCACAGCTACAGCGGCAGCCTGTTGGCTAGCTAGAACAGCAGCTAAAAAATTAAAAATAAATTGTTATATCCGTTTAGTGGTTTTTGTTTTTACTAAATTTACCTCCATATGGCGCCGGGTACATCGGGTATCCTAATCCAACGTGGGTATGGTGATGCGTATGAACATGTCTTTGTGGTGGTGGGCTGCGACTATCAGGTGCGCCTGGACCTCCCAAACTACCAGGTCCACCCATGCCACCAGGAGATGGTCCGCCACTCATTTGCTTTCCAACTGATGGATCTACATTTGATTTTCCCGTATCACCCTTATTCATTGGTGGTGGAACGCCTGGACCACTTAAATTATTTATTGATCCTCCAGGACCACCTGATGATTGTAAATGAATTGGAGTACCACCACCTACGTTAGAAGGTGGTAAAAGACCGGACTGAGGTCCATTTGGGCCATTAGGTCCCCCTACATTAACGCTGTTTGGGCCACTAACGGATATACCACTCGTACCCGTTCCAGGTTGTGGTACATTGGGACTAGAAACATTACTTACTTTAGGATTCGCACCTACACTACCAGTATTTCCACTATTGCTTGTTGGACTTTTTATTGCTCTTTCACTTAACTCATGAATTTTATGTGTAGTGTAATATTGACTCGCAGCATGATGAAGTGCATCTAAGGCTTTGGTATTGGAATTTCGTGATAAATCTTCGGCTGCATGAAATCTTGCCATTGGTAAATGATATGGAGCGTTGTAAGGTGTGGTTGACATTAAGACGTTACGATACATTGGATGATTAGGATCAAAACCAAAAGGTCCCGGACCAATATATGGGGAATGTAAAAAATATTGTGAAGTTGGAGGAGGCGGAGGACCTTGTGTTTCCATTGTTGGCTTCTGACCTTCTTGTTTCACTTTTACGTCTTTCTCTTCTTTAATGTCTTTTATAAGATTTGTAGGTTTTTGGTTATTACTTGCCATTGAAGATTGTTGCAGAGTCGGCTTTGTAGACTTTGTTGGCCCACTGTTTTGTGGTTGGATTTGCTGAGGTGATTGCGACAATTGTTGGGATTGTTGCTGCTGTTGTTGTTGCTGCTGCTGTTGTTGTTGCTGATGTTGCTGTTGACTTTGTTGTGAAGGATGATGCATATTTTGACCAGGCTGTGGGGAAGGAGGCTCTTCCTTAATATTTGTAATTGATGGATTTTGTGGTGGCGGGTTTGATCTCCGTTGATCAGGATATATATAATACCTACATAAAAATATTTCTTTAGGCACAATACAACATTAATTTTTCTTTCATTCAACCTTCTTAGATCTTCATCTCTTGACAAGTGTGATTGTTGAACTGACTGTTGTGGAATCCCCAAACTAGGATGCCTTTGGTATATTCCAGGATATCCTCCTAACGATTGAACTGGTGGCTCTTTTGAATGCAATCCATGGTTATTTTGTTCTTTGTTCATGTCCTTCAATTGTTGTTCTTTAGGTTGGTTCAAAATCTTGTTCGGAATCATTTGTGGCGGCTAAAATTTAAATCGTAGTAATTTATTTAATTTTTTGCAATTTTCACAGTAAATACCTGTCCAGAAATTTTGGAAACATCATGAAGACCATGAGGACTTGGGCTTTCTTTAGTACGATCGTCTTTCAAAGGAGGAGGTTGTGTTGGAGGACCCGGTCCAATTTTACTATCATCAGAAACCATTTGTACTGGACCATAATTTGGATCCACGTTATAAGGATATCCAGGTGGCATGTAACTAAAACAGATAAGTAAAAATTTGTAACAAAGTTTTCTCATAAAATAGTTCATTCTCAATTTACTTGAATGGATAGAAGTGTGGAATCGGCTTTCCTGGGGGTCCCGGTCCAATACCAATTGGTTGTCCTGGTGTATTGCTAGTCAAAATTTCTTTAGGTGGCGGATCGTTATTATTAATTGATTTCGATATTAAATCCAATGGCGGATCCTTATTTTTGTTAAATTCTGTAGAAATACTTGGAGCTGTCGTCACAGAAGCTTGTGATGTGGGCAGTTTTGAAGGAACTGGGGGTCCATTTGAATGATCAGACTGTGGCGGTACCATATACGGCTGCTGAGCGTAGAATTGGTACATACTATAGCCGCCCAAAGCAGGAATTTGAGGCGGAGCACTGGTTTCCTGTGGTTTTTTCCCAATTTCTGAAAGTTGCGAAGTTTTCGATTTTTCCACTTAAAAAAATACATATTTTGATAACTATTCAATTAAATTTTGTATAACTCTCTAATTACCTGTTAAATCATTTTCAGCTGAAGGAGAATCATCAGAAATATCACTGTATGCTGGACTGTGCGCGTCATCTCTTGATGCATTTGAATCGAATTCACCTGGTACAGGAGATTTGCGATTTTTCTTTTGTTTGTTAAAGTTCTGACTTTTGTTAACCGAAATACCTGAAGTGAGATTTTCAGAATTTAAGTATAATGTTTGTTTTTGAAACGCAAAAAGAAAATTACTGACCTTGCTGGTTTTGTGTTTGGCTATATGTATTTGATTCCTGGACGCTACTTGCATTCAATGACCCCATGTTTGTTGGTCTCATTGGACTCTGCTGATTTGACAAATTGGTAGAATTACTTCCGTCTGTTGGAGGCACAAATCTAAGAACGCCCGGTTTAACTGAAATTATGAAATTTTCAAAGTTTAAAACTCTATATTTCTTGTATAAGGGTTATTTTTACTTGGTGGCTCTCCCCGAGTAGGTGTTACTAGACCGCTATGCAGATTTGGTGGTGGCTGCTGTAGCAGCTGCGTATTACCTTGCCCAGTAATTTGTTGGTCGGTCAAAATTTGACTGTTTGTCATTAAGCCACTTTGATTTGGCACTGATGAAACAGGGTTTTGTACTCCCACTAATAAACTGTGTGCTTGGGGAGCTGGTTGTTGTAATTGTTGTTGCTGAAGATGCTGCTGGTGTTGTTGAGCAGAGAGAGCCTGATTTGAAACTCCAGCGGTGATGCTTCCACCTGCCGCAGTATGCTGAGTTATACTTTGTGACTGTATACTGGGTATTAATGGAGTAGCTGAAATTGGAGTCATGTGTGAACCAGTACCAAGCGACGGTAAATTAGGCGCGCTTGGTGATGATCCTGCAGAAATTGTTGTACTCATAATGGACGCAGTACTTGAAACACTACCCGTGGTCATTACTGCGGATGTCGCAGATTGTGATGTTGTCACCATAGCTGAGGTGGTGGGAGTTAGTGTAGCTGTTGTCGGATTAACACTAATGGAAGCGGTAGTCATTGGGACCGGTGCATTCGTTTCAATTCCATTGCTTTGTGTATTTGAAGGGTTATTTTGTTGCGCCGGGGGAGTGCAAGATGGTGCTGGTGATGGAGTGGTTGGAGGCGCTGCACGAATTGGAGATTCAGGAAGTGTTGATGAATCTTCATCCATTGAGTTACTAGAACCATGAGCGTGACTCTGATGATATCTTAAACCATTTGCATGTTTATATTTTTTATTGCAGTCTTGTTCTGGACATTCCAAAAGAACAGGAGAAATCGCACAAGGCGAGGCAGTCTTACACTTTTTATTTGATATCTGAACATTTAATCCAGTTATTGGATTAACTATGATTTGAGTAGATTGACCATTACTACCGCCATTTTGGGAGGTTTCAGTGTTTAATGCAGCTGATTCCCCATTAACTGGACTAGGACTTTCATCTTTAGATTTACGTTTTTCAGATCTTGGTGGCAAAAATCCTGTAGGAGACTGTGACGGTGTATTACATGTGTTAGATGTAGTCGAACTAATTGGAATGCCACTAGCATTTGTAACTGTTGTAGTTGATAACAATGTATTGCCATTACTACCAGCCGTTGTAGTAGTAGAAGTCGCTGTTGTTATGGCTGTTGTTCCCGCTGCAGTAGTACGATTACCGCGGCCTTTTGTCCCACCATTCCGTAATTTTGAGTGCACCTGAAATTTGGAAAAATTTATACACTGTAATATTTTTTTAAATTCATAAGCTTACCGAACTTCGCGTCTCCGTAAAATTACTTAAATCTGGTGCTAAATTGGCACTGCGACCACGTTTCGCGCGTCCTTTGGGAGTCCGAGAATCTAATTCTTCGGTAGGAGAATCACAGAACCTATGATATTTAGCCAATTAATAAAATTATATATTTGAATATATTTAAACATTATATACCTTGGCGGTGCCCAATCATGTCTTGTGCAATCTAGCAGTGTGCCAACATAAGTTTTACCTCGCCACGTTACATTTACCACAAGCACTCCGCCTTCGGTCTCATGCCAAACAATACCTTCTAAAGTAACCGATGTACCTGGTTCACACGGACCTAAACAATCAGGTTCAGTGATGGTTCCAACAGACGTTCCAATACAGACATCAACCATATCTTTAGGTTCAGTTTTTATACGTTTTGTTGGAGGACTTTGAGTTCCATCATCACAATTAATTTTTACTCCAGTTGCTAATGGAGAGTTTGATGCAACAGATATCGTATGATGTACAGTGGCTGATATATTTCCGCTACCACTATTTTTTAAATTTAAGGAATTTTGTTGCTGACCGCTAGCATTAACGCCACTTGAATTAACGGTACTATTATTAGCATTATTCGAGAGCGGTTGGGAATTATTTGTGCTTAAATTTTGCATTTGATTTGAAGTTTGTTGCTGTTGCAGTTGCTGCGACTGTTGCGACTGTTGTAGTGGTTGCGACTGCTGTGATAATGTTCCATTGTTATTGGAAATATTTGATTTATTATCTTTTACTGGCGGTCCCGGTGCATTTGGCGTGCTATTTGCAGCAGATGTAGTGTTATTTACATTAGAGTTACCTCCGGAACTGGTTGAAGTATTAAAAGGTCCTAAAGAATTACTGCTATTGTTATTACTTAGTCCAGTGGAACTAACATTTTGTGCGTTCAAATTATTTGACTGCACTTGTCCAGCCAATCGGTTCGATAGTGATTGATCTATGTTGTTGTTAGAATTGGCTCGATTGCGTATACAATTTGAACTTCCACAATTTGTTTGTATACTTGTAGCACTGCCGCCGTTAATCTCAATAGCACAACTACATGCAATAGCTGAACCCACTGCTCCAGAAACTGTAGACGGAGGGGGACGATCGTTATTTGACGAATTATTAGACAAGCTACTAGTAGTTGAAGAATTACTGCTATTGCTATTGCTATTGTTACTATTATTGCTATTATGCTCAGATTTTTCTCTGGAATGTGGTTGTTTCTCGCGGATTTTATCCCGTCTGTGACCACTATTACCACGTTTATTAGCTGCGGAATTTGGTGACGGAACAGAAGATAATTGCGATGGCGGTTGAGATGACACAACAGGACCGGATGGATTTATTTGATTATTATGTTTAGGTTTATTGTTGGCAGTGGAACCAGAATTACCGCCAACTGATGAATTTATATTTTGTAAAAGAGAATTTTGTTGCCCAGAAGTTGCATTGTCGCCATCTAAACCCGTTGATGTACCATTTTGCTCCGCTTTAACTATTTCATGTTTTGCTTCAGATGTTTTAGTACCTGGTTTGGTTCTTTTGATTTTCATTTTGAGACCTTTGTCCAATGTCGCTTGGTGATCAATTGACATTTTTGTAGCTGATTTACCAGCCCCTCCTTGTGCACCACTGGGTTGTGATGACATGCTGCTACTGCTGGCTAAAATTTCATAAAAGCAAATATAAAATTATATTAATATATGTAAATGATTAAAAAATACGAGCTTACTACTGGTACTAGTAGATTGTACCCCAATCGGATATAATTTATTACAATTCGATGAGTCAACACTTATTCCTAATTGCGTGTTAACGTGTCCCAAATTTACAGGAGATACTGGATTCAAGTTATCAGAATTACTGGTTAAAAAAACAGACTTTTTGTTATCCTCTAATAAGACGCTTTTCTTTTTTGCAGCACAATTTTGTACAGCTGAAGTAGTATCTAGCCCAGATGGGTTTACTTGTATATTTCCTGTATTTGAACTATCAATTGGAAGAGAAGTTTTATTGTTTAATTGAGCTAGTAAAGACGGTTGTTCCAGCTTTAAATTTTGATGCGAATTCTGAATGGAATTAGAATTTGCAATTTGAGGAAGCTGAGAACGTTTCACTGTATCGTTACTCTCAATTTTAGAATTTTCCAATATTGATGGCGCCAATATTGACGAGGTATTTGAAATATTTCCAGAATTATTTGGAGCTTGAAGGGATTTTTGTAAAATACTTCCCTGAGCTGTTGAGTGAGGAATCGGTTTAGAACCGATAACTGATGATTGATTTGGTTTAATGGGAGATGTGGTTGCTGATGTTGATGTTGCTGATGAAGATGATGAAAGAGAATTCGATGAGTTACTACGCGATGACAATGAGGTCGACGAAGAAAATGATGAACAAGCTGGCCCAGATTGTGATTGGTCGTTTGCATTTATATTACTATCAGTTTGTATTTGCGGACCACTATTAATATTGCCACCACTTAATTTATTAATATTTTCGGTTACAGAATTTGTAATAGTCGAGCTTTTATTTATATTTTGGGACTTATTTTGAGAATTCACATCAGTTGTTGGACAATTGGAACTTTGTTGTTGAGCAGCTGATGCAGTTGTTGATGCCGATTTTTCAATATCAGCATCCAAATCAATTATAAGATCGCCAATACCACCTACGTCCCACTCGTTATCGTCGTATTCAAAGTTTGTGTCTTTCGATTCACTGGATGTTGACGATGTTGAAGAGGGAGTTGCAGTCGCACTTGAAGTATTTTGATTTGACGAAGTTGACGATTGTGGTGTCGACGATCCAGACGAGGAAGTCGAAATCACTTTCGTGTTTATGTCTTTTGTTGTTAAATGTGTTGGTTTATGTAAAATAGTTGATGCTAATTGTGCTTTAACGTGCTGTTGTTGTAAACTATAACTTATTTTTGTATTGTTATTTACTGAACCACTACCACTCGATTTATTATTGCTTTCCGTTACTACGCTGTTAACGGCCACCTAAAATTATTTAAGTCAAATGATTAATTTAATTTTAAAATAAGTATATATAAATAAATAGAAAGGATGTACGTATAAATAGTCAATTATACCATTTACAAATATTACATTACAAAATTTATGTCGAAATTTATGAGTGCCAAGAAAAATTAATTACTCCTTAAAAATTTTAAACATACGCATGTTTTATTACAAATTTTATATGCATACAATTCAAATAAATCACTTATTAAACTTTTTGGGTTCTTCTAGAATTATTTAAAATTTGTAACATCTAACTATGTCGCGGAAATCGTTACAAAATTTCATATGCCTTTTTATGTAGCTGTATGCAGCTGCATTTAACTTTAAACGACTCCTCAGTAAAAAATTTATTACTTTACTCGTTTTTTCCCGAAATTTGACACGTTTTTTTGTAATGTTTGAATATAATTTAAATAGACACGAACGTTACCTTATTCGGGTGGTGGCTATTATCCGCCTCACTACGTCTCATTGACTCCATGCAGACGAAAAAATAAGGGCAACCGCTAATTGCGGGCCCAAAAACCTCTGCTTGTCTTCGCCTTTTGTTAATGTTAAAATTCCAGAAGCACTTTGAAGAAAATTAACAATTGGCGAATATGATGAGGAAAAAAATTGATTAAAAAAATTATTAACTGGAAGATTTTTAGTATTTTGTTTATATAATTTTGTTGATACTTGTGCTTTATTAAATTGAAATGCACGGCGGGAGACACAGGGCCCCGGCCCTCGGGCCAAACCGTTCATGGTAAATCTGTAATAAAAAAATTCAATATATTAAAATTACAAAAAAAAATAAAAAATAAAATAAAAGTTGTAGAACACAGACTTTTTGAGCAAAATAATTTTTGTGTTTCAATAATTGACATTTGTGTTAAATAATTTTTGTTTTTCGAATCGTAAATAATGCTAAATAAAATTTTTAAATAATTTAGCATTACTTACGATTTTTAATATTTTTTATATTTACATGAAAAATTGCACATTGAAAACACAAACACAAGTACATATGTATATATTTAAATACAAAAAGTCAATTTTAGTATTTCTTCTAAGTTGTTCTTTTCTGGATACGTTTGTAGGTATACATGTAAAATTCTTGTTGAAATATAAAGTAAATTGATCGATTATCAACTATTTCAGAACCAACTTTTATTCAAATACAAGCACTAAATAAAAACTTCCTAAAATTTTTCGTTTTAAATCTGTGACCTTCTTTTTAGGAATGGTTTAGAAACTAAAGAAATAACAAATAAACAAAGCAACTATGCATTGCAATTAAAATTAGGATTGCCACTCTTAAAAAAATTGTTATGGCAATTTAAAAAAATGCGTCAAATCTGAATGAAAAAATATATAGAAGGTCGGAAAGTAAATTTATGGATTTAATAAAGGTCAAAACAGAGCATTAATAACAAAACGAGCAATAAAACTTAAAATTGCAACATGATTCCAAGACAAATGATAAGATTTAAGTAGTTTGAAAGAAAATATCAAATAATAATCAATATTTGTTTTATTTTTCAATATTTCTTTTGCTCATGAGAATTAATAAACTCAGGTAAGACAAATTTTTTTTTTGACATTTGTTGAAAGTAGGCCTTTTTATTAGAAAAGCAATTTTTTATCTGTCGCAGTGTTGTTTTTTCAGCATAATATATCCTTTATCTTGTACCTTTTTTCTATATTTAAATACATGAATCAATTTCTTTAAATGCGATTTTAAAAATCGCATAAATTGTAATAAACTATTTTTAAGATAAATATGAAGAGAAAAGGACACGAATGTACATGTATGAAATCATAAACACAATTGATCATAGTTTAAAAATTTCCGAGGTAAAGTGGATAACTGACATTAGCTGTTTTTAATGAATTAAACGTCGTCGAGCAGAGATAATTTATTATTGTGATAGGCATAAACAAGTAATTTGTCCCCAGTATACATTACTTCCTGGAGGCAAATCTTTTTTAAAAGTCAATGCTACCCAGCACTCTTTAGTAGTCTACACCCTACATATATACATACATATTTCATTCTATTCCTTAGTTTCGATTTTATAATATCCATTAAGCTTTATCAAATGTTAAGTCTTTATTTAACGTAGAAAATAACTTGGATTGGCATTAAAATGTGAATTGTAAAAAATTTAATAAAATATATATTCCACTTTGGCAACACTAATGACAATTGGAAATATATCAAAATAGAAAAAAAATTTTTTTGACATAAAACAAATAATCTTTTTATTATAGGGCTGTACGGGAATTCCCGATTACAAATATGTATAACAAAAATATTAAAAATGAAATTATGTTAAAAATTATGTACATTTGTATGTATAAACATTTTTGAATAAATTACAAAATAAATAAATTAGACTTAATAAAGAACGAACTGCAGTTGTATACAGAAATTTTCTGTATACAACTGCAGAACAAATCAAGTTAGAAAAATTAAACATCTTTTTTCCTCTCAAATTAAACGCGAACCAGTGGCCTAGAAGACGGTGCGGTTGCCGCGCAACGATTCCCGCGGCGTATATTTAAATACATCGATAATTTTTTTTTGAAAACCGTACGCCGCATCTTGCGTTCATGAAGGCGATCTCTTAGTTATGTGGTCAATTTCCTGTCATATTGCAGCTAAGTAAATAGTTATTTGAAATTTCAGGGGGGACTCTATCTCGAATCTATTGAGATTATCAAAAATATTATTAATAACTATTTGACAGCAAACTATTTACATATGTACGTTATGTACTTTTATAAAAACAGCAATACATATATTCGATTGCTTTTCATATACATTATGTCATTAAAAAATTGTGTTTGGCAGAAGTTTGTCTGTTTTATTGCAATATTACACAACATATAATTTTAATCATACAACAGGAAAATCTTAATTCTTACTGAATTTTTCCAGAAAAAAGAAAAATCGTCTAAAAAAATTAGGTGTTTATTGGTTTCACTTCATTTATCCTTGCCCTCCTGTCCATCCACCATTATGTAGCCGCTATTTTAATGTAGCTGTTACTTCAAAAAATGTGCAACCATTTTGTATTGGCTAAAATAATTTTAACAGATAATTTACGTAAAAATTATTTAAATACTTTTTAATAAAAAAGTATTTCCATTTGCTCAAGGAAAAAGTGCTATTTTACGAATCATTGATTCGATCCGAATTAATTAATATTAAAAATAACAAAAGATTTGCATTTAATTAAGTTGAATATTGAATAGATACACATACATACATACACATGTATGTTATTTAGTTTAACCAATTGTGTGAAATAATAATTAATTTGTATTTACTTAATCATTTTTATTAGCTACTGTTTTTTTTATAAAAACGTTTAAGCTTTGCATAGTAGAAACTGGTAAACTTACAACTTTTAAAAAAATTAATTTTATCTTTTAAAATCTAAAAATTTAAATATGTGCATATGTATGCATTAAAATGTTAATTTATGTATGTGGTTAATTCACAACATCATTAAAATAAAAACATAATAAATAATACCTCCAGTGATAGATGCTTATATAGCTACACAACATTAACAGGTACATTTATACCAATAATACATACATAGGTATGAATGCACGCAGAGCTAAAATTTATATAGGTACGAACATATGTATGTAAGTATAAAATATTGAAAATCCTATTGTATAAAAAATATTTGCTATATCGCATACCTACACACATGCCTGTATGTATATGATAATTCATAATGTTATATGTATATACATAGATGCTAATTTGTGTATGCATTGATGTTTATGAATTTTATACAAAAAAAAAATTATTAGCATTTAATGACAGTAATTTGTCGTTATACAAAATGTAATATGATAATAATAATAGTAATAATTTAAGCAATATAACCTTCATGTGACAGCATATAATTAAGCTGCAACAGCTAAATTTTTTTTATAAAATATTTCTTTGAAATAAAAAAAAATTTATTTATTTGTCGTATGATTGAAATAATGTTTTTTTTTTCATAAATTTGAAATTATGTATGTACCTACATAATATATGTAAATACTTTTATAATTTATAATTTTTAGCATATTTTTAAAAAACAATGTATCTATTACTTTTAAACTGTCGTTCTGGTCATACAAATGTGTGGCAGCTGTTTTAAAAAAATATAAAATAATATAAGATTGCAAATATTAATATACATACATACATACATACATATACTCTTTGTGCTTATTGGAGGAATATTTTTTTTTGGCTCACTTTCCTTGTGAGTTATCGGAAAGTTTAATTTTATTTATTTAACCTCACCCTTGGATAGAGTGCGAAAATTAAGATTCCCTTTTTAAACTTATTTTGTTATCAACTTCTAAAGAATGCACTCAAATTGGATTATAAATAAATAATTTTGTTAAAACTTGTTTTAAGAACATTTCCAACAAATCCGGAAAATATGTGCTTATTGATTTTAGTGTGACTGTCGTCTGTGCGGCTATGTGTCCATTTTCCAAGACTATACGTACATTATAATAGAATAAGAACCAGAAATTTTTATAAAGAGAAAATCTTTAAGATAAAGAAGAAATTTTTTTCCTAAGAAGAAAATTTTTATTGGCTTCACCTGCAAGTTCTCTTCTTAAGTTACTTTTCATTGAAAATATTTGCAATCGAAAATCAGTAAACATTTACGTATATCTACTGAAATTAATTTATTAAACACAGTGTACCAACATTAACACATAAAAACTTTAAAGTTGTACAAAAATAAAATTGTTTTATCAATCTCCCTTTAAAGCAATTTTGTTCGATTCAACCTTAAAATATGTCCCAATTAAATAATAGGAAAAAATTTCAATAACAATTTATAAATAAGTAACATTTGTAAAAAATGTTTTACAAAATATGTTGAAACATTAAACAATAATTAAATTATATTAATAAAAAACTAATCATATTAAAATCACATTTACCAACATAATAGTGAAATGCATATAAGAAGTACCCAGGAAATCACTATCATTTTATCTTATGTTTTAGCAAATACGGAAGCGATGTGAAATAAACTTTTGAATATTTGATCTATATGCCTATTCATATGTACATATGTATGTATGCAGATATACATATATGCAAAGGCTTCAAACAATTTTCTACATGGAAGTAATAATGCTCTATAATTTTAAAGCGGCAAACGAATCATTTTCATCTCGAATGAAGAATAGAAAAATTTTATTATGATTGTGAATAAAACAAACATTGAATTGTTTTTTCAATAATTTTTGTAAATTTAGCGGCGAATTTAGTTTAGTACAAAAGACCAATAAAATAATTGCCTTAAATTAGAGAATGAAAAAATAAAATCAACAATTTGTATTGTAAGAACTAAAATTAAATTAGTTATAACAGATTACTATAATAGATTACTATAATAATATAAGTAAGACAGAAGTAACAAATACTTAATGAAAAAAAAAAGACCAAAAAAATTAAAGGTGCATTAAAAGTAACTAAAAAACAAACTTACAATTGCTTTACTTTTTATATATTCTTTATCTATATTCTTTATGTAAGATTTATGTACATTTTATACATAAATCTTGTATAGATAAAATGTATGTATGCATCTATACGTACATGGAGCATTAAGTCTTATTATAGGTTTATAGTATAATAGATGTTTGTGTAAATATAACAATAATTAAGTATATTTTCTTTTTGGAATTACGTTCGCTTCATGTACAATAGTTAAAGGAACTCATTTT